ACCATGGGGGCAATAAGCTAGAGTGACATGGACTTGGAATGACAGGATAGGTCTAGGAGCTCGAGGCTGCAGCGAGCTATGGTTGTGTCACTGCACTCCAGCCTGGGTGACAGAGTGAGACCCTGTTTCTTAAAAATAAGTAAATAATAATTTAAAAAGCAAAATGCAATGCTTGCAAAGCATTGAAACTTTAGGCAGGCGCCTTGGTCATTTCAACAGGCAGCTGTACTGTGGGCAGAGCCTCTTGTTCCGATTCCCTCCTTCAGTCCCTGGGGAACCTGGAGATGTAGGCACTAGGCGTTCCGATGCCCACTGTACAGACGGAGGCAAGAGCCTGGGGTGCGGGTCAGGCGGCTGCCTGAGTGCAGGTCTGTGGACCTCTGTGCAGAGACAAAATGAGCATCTTGAGTGTTTTTTGTCCTGGTCTGAGCCCAAGAGGAGGAAGACTGAGAGTATCCCTATAGGGCCCTCAGGGAGCCCCAGGCAGTAAGTGTGGACCGAGGCTTGGAGTGGATCAAGGTTTACCTGAGGCTGACCCCAGATGGCTGTTGTCAGTGGGAAACCAGAATCGGCCCTTCTTTGAGGCTGTGGAGCCCACGCTCTGCTCTTCTTTTGGGCTGGGAGCCAGGAGTCAGGCAAGGTAGCAAATGTGTGACCTCAGGATGGCAGCCTTTCCTTTCAGCATTTCTTCCCCTCCCTCCCGCAGGGGAGTAGACATCCAACTCTCCAGTTTCTTCCACTCAGAGTGTGGTCCTTGGCCTGGCAGTATCAGCAGCACCTGGGAGCCAGTTAAAAGAGTGGAATTGCTGGGCCCACCCAGGCCTACTGAATCAGAATCTGGATGTTAATGAGACTTCCCTGAAAGCTTCTTGCGTACACTGAAGTCGGAGAAGTTCAGCACTAGACCTCTCTTCTCCATCCACAGGTATGAGCCTCATTCACAGCAAGAGGCCTCCTCAGAAATGCGAGGGTGGGGTGGCGGGGGTGCAGGATGCCTGTTTTGTTTAAGACCTGCAGCCTTGAGCAGGGCTCAGTGGTTCCCCGAGCCTGTAATCCCAGCTACCTGGGAGGCTGAAGCAGGAGGATCGCTTTAGCCAGTCGTTGGAAACCAGCCTGAGCAACATAGCAAGACCCCATCTCTAAAAAAAGAAAAAGACTACTGCAGCCTGGGTAACAACAGCGAAACTCCGTCTCAAAAAAGAAAAAGACAGTTGGTGCACTGGCTTCAGCACTTTGGGAGGCCAATGCAGGTGGATCACCTAAGGTCAGGAGTTTGAGACCGGCCTGCCCAACATGGTGAAACCCCCTTTCTACTAAAATTACAAAAAATTATCTGGGCATAGTAGTGGGTGTCTGTTATCCCAACTACTCAGGAGACTGAGGCAGGGGAATTGCTTGAACCCAGGAGGCGAAGGTTGCAGGAAGCCAAGATCGAGCCATTGCACTCCAGCCTGGGCAACAAGAGCAAAATTCAAAAAGAAAAAGCCTGCAGTCTCTCTGTTCCTAGTGCAGATTTCCCAGGGCTTCTGCCTTCCAAACTTTCCTTCCCCTTCCACCCCAAAGCCAGATCCTCCTGCCTTCCCCCAAGTACCTGCCTTACCTTTTTTTAAAAAAATTATTTTTTACCTTTTTATTTTATTTTGAGACAGGGTCTTGCTCTGTCACCCAGGCTGGAGTGCAGTGACACAATCTCACTGCAACCTCTGCCTCCTGGGTTTAAGTGATTCTCCTGCCTCAGCCTCCCAAGTATCTGGGACTACAGACACCCACCACCATGCCTGGCTAATTTTTGTATTTTTGGTAGAGACAGGGGTTTGCCATGTTGGCCAGGCTGGTTTCAAACTCCTGAGCTCAAGTGATCTGCCCACTTCAGCTTCCCAAAGTGCTGGGATTACAGGTGTGAGCCACTGCACCTGGCCTACCTTTTTATTTTAAATAATCCTTTTCTGTTAGAGTAGTTTAAAGCTTATAGAAAAGTTACAGGTGATACAGAGCGCACTCCTGTGCCCTCACCCAGGGGCCTCTGTTGTTAACATCTATGTCTCGTCACCATAGTACATTTGTCACAAAACAACATCAGTACATTGCTACTAACTAAATTCACCACTTTATTTAACCAGATTTCACTCACATCCTGTTTTTCCACTAACATCCCTTTTCTGTTTCTGCATTCCATCCAGGATTGCACATCACATTTGGTCATCACGTTGTCTCAGTCTCTGCGACAGTTCCTCAGGCTTTCCCTGTTTGTTTTTTTTTTTTTTTAATTGCATTTTAGGTTTTGGGGTACATGTGCAGAACATGCAAGATAGTTGCATAGGTACACACGTGGCAGTGTGATTTGCTGCCTTCCTCCCCTTCACCCACATCTGGCATTTCTCTTCACAATTTAGAGTACAGGCCAGGGATTCTGTAGAATGTCTCCCAATCTGAATTTTTCTGGTGGTTTTCTCATGACCCCGAGAGAGGATTCTTGGATCTTGCTCAAGAAAGAATTAGAGATGAATCCATAAAGTGAAAGCAAGTTTATTAGGAAAATAAAGGAATAAGAGAATCGTTATTCCATTGGCAGAGCAGCCCAAGGGCTTCTGTTTTTTATGGTTATTTCTTAATTATATGCTAAACAAGGAGTGGATTATTCATGAGTCTTCCCAGAAAGGGGCGGGCAATTCCTGGAACTGAATTCCTCCCCTTTTTAGACCACACAGGCTAACTTCCAGACATTGCCATGGCATTTGTAAACTGTCATGGTGGTGGGAGTTTCTTTTAGCATGCTAATGTATTATAATTAGCATGTAATGAGCCGTGAGGACGACCAGCGGTCACTCAGGATGATTCAGGAAATTGTGTTTTACTCAAGTTGAAGGAGAACATTAGTGTTAGAGAGTGATGGGGAGCCAGGTGTGGTAGCTCACACTTGCAATCACAGCACTTTGTGAGGCAGAGGTGGGAGGATGGTTTGATCCCAAGAGTTGGCGACCAGACTGGGTAACATGTCTAGTGAGACTTCTTCCTATAAAAATAAAAAATTAGCTTGTCATGATGGCGCACACCTGTAGTCCCAGCTACCTGGGAGGCTGAGGTGGGAAGATCATTTGAGCCCAGGAAGTCGAGGCTGCAATGAGCTGTGATGGTGCCACTGCACTCCAGCCTGGGTAACAAAGTGAGATTCTGTCTCAGAACAACAACAGAAAGTGTCCTGGCACAGTGGCTCACCTGTAATCCCAGCACTTTACGAGGATGAGGTGGGTGGATCACAAGGTCAAGAGATCAAGACCATCATGGCCAACATGGTGAAACCATAAAATACAAAAATACATAGATACTAAATACTAAAAATACAAAAATTAGCCCAGTGTGGTGACGGATGCCTGTAGTCCCAGCTACTCAGGAGGCTAAGACAGGAGAATTGCTTGAATCCGGGAGGCAGAGGTTATACTGAGTCGAGATCACGCCACTGCACTCCAGCCTGGGCAACAAGAGCGAAATTCTGTCTTAAAAAAAAAAAATCAACTGGGCGTGGTGACATGTGCCTGTAGTCCCAGCTACTTGGGAGGCTGAGGCATGAGAATCACTTGAACCCGGGAGGTGGAGGTTGCAGTGAGCTGAGATCGCACCATTGTACTCCAGCCTGGCGACAAAGTGAGACTCCATCTCAAAAAAAAAAAACAAAAAAAGTGATAGGAACTGTTTGGAAAACTCTGCCCCTGTCGTGAAAGCTCTCTTTCCCTCTCCTACAAAGAGGCTCCCTTATCGCTCACTCTACATACCGCTCTAGCCTTCCCGCCCGGCCACAGCCACCTCCCACCCGGCAACCGGCTGACCAATCACCGCCTGCCTCATCAGCACTCCCCAGCTTCCCGCCACCTGGCTTCCCGCCCAGCGGTTTAAATGGACCAACCGTTGCCCGCCACCTCGGCTCTCTCGGCTTCCCCACTCCCTCAGCCCTTCAGCCCCCTATAAAAGAACCCTGCTCCTCTGAGCGGCGCGGCCATTTTCCTCTTCTTCCCGGCTGGTCTGCCCGGAGGCTCTTTCCTCTCAATAAAGCCTGAACTTAAGACTTTCTTCTAACCTGCGGTCCGGTTTTTTCCCGAAGGAGCTCAGGCCTCCCGCAGAGGGTAGGTCGCACAGGAACTAGACTGTGCCGAATGTGTGAGGGACATACTCAGGTATGAAGAATCCTTGTTTGTGGTTTTTGGTGTTTATTTAAAATTCTGAATTATCCCTTTGTGTTAGTTCATTCATACATTGATATTAAAAAATACTTAGGCTGGTAATTTATTAAAAAAGAGGTTTAATTCGCTCATGGTTCTGGAGGCTGTGCAAGAAGCATGGCACCAGCATCTGCTCAGCTTCTGGCAAGGCCTCAGGAAGCTTCTAATCATGTGTGAAGAAGGGGAGGCTGGCTTATCACATGGTGAGAAAGTGAGGCAGGGACAGAGGGGGTGCCATACACTCCCTGTTTTGTTTTTTTGTTTTTTCTGAGACAGGGCTGCCACCCAGGCTGGAGTACAGTGGCACAATCAAACCTCACTACAGCCTCCACGTTCCAGATTCAAGTGATCCTCCCCGTCAGCCTCCTGAGTAGCTGGGACCACAGGCTAACACCTCCATGACTGGTAATTTTTTCATTTTTTGTTGAAACGGAATCTTGCCACGTTGCCCAGGATGTCTCAAACTCCTAGGCTCAAGTGATCCTCCTGCCTTGGCCTCCCAAAGTGCTGGGATTACAAATGTGAGCCACTGGTGGTACCTGGCCACCATACCCTTTTCAACAACCAGATCTCATGTGAACTCAGAGTGAAAACTCACTCATTATTGTGAGTATAGCACCAAGCTATTCAAGAAGGATCCTCCCCCATGACCCAAGTGGGGGACACCTCTCACCAGGCCCCACCTCCAACACTGGGGATTACATTTACCTATTTACTTTTATTTATTTATTTATTTGTTTATTTATTTATTTATTGAGACTGAGTCTGGCTCTGTCACCCAGGCTGGAGTGCAGTGGCGCTATCTCGGCTCACTCCAACCTCCGCCTCCTGGGTTCAAGCAATTCTCCTGCCTCAGCCTCCCAAGTAACTGGGACTACAGGCATGTGCCACCACGCCCAGCTAATTTTTGTATTTGTAGTAAAAATGGGGGAGTTTCACCATGTTGGCTAGACTGGTCCTAGACTCCTGAGCTCAAGTGATCTGCCTGCCTCGGCTTCCCAAAGTGCTGGGATTACAGGCATGAGCCACCATGCCTGGCCTGGGGATTATACTGAAACATGAGATTTGAAGGGGACAAACACCCAAACTCTATCACCTTTTCAATACCAGCCATGTATATATATGCCTCTGCTTTAACACAAGCCAGATATCCTTTCATTTTATCGTAGCAACATTCAATGGTAAACATCCCCTGTCTTTCCCACTTTGAGCCTTCAAGCTGCCTATGCTCTGTGAGGAAGCCCCTGTCCCACCCCAGATCTGGGGCTGCCTGTTGCCAAGTCATTGTGGAAGAATGAGAAGTTAGAGAGATTCCACAGGGGCTCTGCCAAGCACATGAGATGCTCAAGGAAGAAAACTCTGGCCTCTGGGTGACCTCAATGTCTTTTGAGTCCTAAGTGCAGAAGCTGAAGAGGTGCCTGGGACTCTCACTGACCTGCCCACCTCTGCAGCATGGCCTCCCAGTCCTGGTGAAATCTTCGGCATGATGTTCAACTTCCAGAATTCTGCCCTCAGTGTCAGGTGTGCAGGGTTCCAGGATTGTCCAGACCTGGCGAAATCTTGGTATTTGTCCTTCCTGAAAGGGTAAGTTATACTTAACATGACAGATAGAAGTCGGCCCTTGGAACATTCCATAGGATTCTTTGTGACCCTCCACAGAATGCCATGATGGGTCAGATACTATGTCACTGGCCAATTCTCTCTCAGGAATGGTGGTGGGAAGCCGGTGAAGAGAGGGACAGTCAGCTGGCATCACGGTGAGTTCTAGGAGATACATTGTGGAAGAATGTTCTCGGCCTCTGGGAAGAACTGGCCTGTCTGTGCATACTCCAGAAGTATTGGACATCCTCTTGAGGCATACACTTCCAACAGAGAGAGGGGCAACAGGTACCCCAAAGCTACTGGCAGCTGCTTTAGTCAGCTCTGTTCAGTGGCCGGAAATGGGATCCTACCCAAAGTAGCTTGATATAACAGCTGCAGAGGATTCCTTGTTTTAGAAAAAGATTTTTATTTTCAAGTTTTGTGGGTGCATAGTAGGTGTATATATTTACGGGGTACATGAGGTATTTTGATACAGGCATACAATGGGTAATAATTACATTAGGGTAAATGGGATATCCATCACCTCAAACATTTATCCTTTCTTTGTCTTATAAATAATCCACTTATTTTTTTAGTTATTTTTAAGTGTACCACAAATTATTGTTGACTGTGGTCACGCGGTTGTGCTATCAAATACTAGATCTTATTCATTCCATTATAACGAATATGTTTTGTACCCATTAATCAACACCTCCCACCACCACTACTCTTCTCATTGTTCTACTGTTCCTTTCCATTAGTTCAGTTGTTTTAATTTTTAGTTCCCACAAATAAGTGAGACTATGAGAAGTTTTTTTTTTTTTTTTGAGACAGAGTCTTGCTCTGTTGCCTAAGCTGGAGTGGAATGGTGCGATCTCGGCTCACTGTAACCTCTGTCTCCCAGGTTCAAGTGATTTTCCTGCCTCTGCCTCCCAAGTAGCTGGGACTATACAGGCACACACCACCAAGCCTGGCTCATTTTTTGTATTTTTAATAGAGATGGGGTTTCACCCTGTTGGCCAGGCTGGTCTCGAACTTCTGGCCTCAAATGATCTGCTGCCTTGGCCTCCTGAAGTGCTGGGATTACAGGCATGAGCCACCAAGCCTGGCCAGAAGTTTGTGAAGTTTGTCTTTCTGTGCCTGGCTTATTTCACCTAACATAATGATCACGAGTTCCATCCATGTCATCCTGTTCCAGATGACAGGATCTTTTATTTATTTATTTTTTTTTTTTTGAGATGGAGTGTTGCTCCATCACCAGGCTGGATTGCAGTGGCGTGATCTCAGCTCACTGCAACTTCCACCTCCCAGGTTCAAGTGATTCTCCTGCCTCAGCCTCCCAAGTAGCTGGGATTACAGGCACATGCCACCCTGCATGGCTAATTTTTTTTTTTGAGATGGAGTTTCGCTCTTGTTACCCAGACTGGAGTGCAATGGCACGATCTCGGCTCATCGCAACCTCCGCCTTCTGGGTTCAAGCAATTCTCCTGCCTCAGCCTCCTGAGTTGCTGGGACTATAGGCACGCACCACCATGCCCAACTAATTTTTGCATTTTTAGTAGAGACGGGGTTTCACCTTGTCAACCAGGATGGTCTCGATCTCTTGACCTCGTGATCCACCCGCCTTGGCCTCCCAAAGTGCTGGGATTATAGGCGTGAGCCATCGCACCCAGCTAATTTTTGTATTTTTAATAGAGACAGGGTTTCACCATACTGACCAGGTGACCAGTGGTTGTACTGATTTACATACTGCCATCCTTGTAATGACTACCCTTTTAAAGCCGGGCAGGGTGGCTCACATCTGAACTTCTGAGCTCAGGTGATCTGGCCGCTTTGGCCTCCCAAAGTAGTGGGATTACAGGCGTGAGCCACCACCCCCAGCCAGTACCACATTTTCCTTTATCCATTTGTCTGTTGTTGGACACTCAGGTTGTTTCCAGATCCCGGCTATTGTGAATAGTGCTGCAATAAGCATGGCAGTGCAGGGATCTCTTTGACAAGCTGATTTCCTTTCTTTTGGGTATATACCCAGCAGGGGGATGGCTGGATCGTATGGTAGCTCTATTTTTAGTGCTACCAAATTGTTCTCCATAGTGGTTGTACTGATTTACATTCTGACCAGCAGCATACAAGGGTTCCCTTTTCTCTACATCCTCATCAGCATGTTATTGCCTGTCTTTTGGATAAAAGCCACTTTAACTGGGGTGAGATGATATCTTGTAGTTTTAATTTGTGTTTCTCTGATGCTCAGTGACTGAGTACCTTTTCATATGCCTGTTTGCCATTTGTATGTCTTCCTTTAGGATTCCTCTTTGACCCTTCCCTGAGGTGGGCTGTAGCAGACAGTGGGACCCCACTTCACCAGACATGGCTGGCTGGAGCAAGTAGGTACTGACCCAGACTGGGCCTGCCAGAGCCTTTCTCCTGAGCATTCGGGCAAGGGCCAGAGAGAGAGCAGGACATCTCTGTGGCCACTTGACTTTGTATAGTCTGGGGCTATTGACAGCAATACTTAGCCTCATGCACATGGAGAACTGAAGGAAATTGGTCTCAAATAAGATGCTTGAGACCACAGGCCCATTTAGAAAAGGGCTGCCTGGCCTTTATATCATCCTGAGGCCCGGGTGTGCCACCTGTCCCAGGGTTCCAGGAGACACCTGCCATCCTTGTAATGACTACCCTTTTAAAGCTGGGCAGGGTGGCTCACATCTGTAATCCCACCACTTTGAGAGGCTGAGGCAGGCGGATTGCCTTAGGTCAGGAGTACAAGATCAGCCTAGACAACATGGTGAAATCCTGTCTCTACTAAAAATACAAAAACTAACCAGGTGTGGTGGGAGGTACCTGTAATCCCAGCTACTCAGGAAGGTGAGGCAAGTGAATCTCTTGAACCTGCAGAGGTTGCAGTGAGCTGAGATCGTGCCCCGGCACCCCAGCCTGGGTAACAAGAGCAATATTCTGTCTTAAAAAACAAAAAAAAAGACTACCCTTTTTTGTAAGTTAGCCTGGGTAGGTTTCTGTCAGTTATACCTCCAGAAAAGCCTAAGCCAGGGTATATTGTATGGGTTCAGAAGATGATACAGAAAGAAGGGCAGGAAGCAGGAATTGGGAAAATTCTCTCTCTCTCGATTTGCTCATATGGTTCTCTTCTCTCCTATCTATCTCAACAGGCTTTCTTCTTTTTTCCATCAGTGAGCCCCCAACCAAATTGTCCTAGTCCTGAGTCTAGACAGCCTTCAGTTCCAGCCATCAGATTGTAATCTCTACCTCTCAGTTTAAATATGAGGGGGAGGCTGGGTGTGGTGGCTCACATATGGTGAGGAGTTCGAGGGCAGCCTGGCCAACATGGCGAAATCCCATCTCTACTAAAAATACAAAAAGTAGCAATGTGCGGTGCTGGGCACCTGTAATCCCAGCTACTTGGGAGGCTGAGGTAGGAAAATCACTTGAATCCAGGAGGTGGAGTTGCAGTGAGCCAAGATCGCACCACTGTACTCCAGCCTGGGTAACAGAGCAAGACTCTGTCTAAAAAAAAATAATAAAAATAAATATGAAGGGAAGAGGGAGGGAGAGAGGTTGTTTCTGCTGGACCCAGTCCAGCCTATGTCTTGGTTTGCTTCGGGTCAAGTATTCACACCGACTGTGACTGGAGGAAGAGGAGGCTCACATGGCACATTAATCAGTGCCCTCCCCCTGCCTTTAAAGAAGAGACAGAGCTGGGTGTGGTGGCTCATGCCTGTAGTCCCAGCACTTTGGGATGCTGAGGTGGGTGGATCATGAGGTCAGAAGATCAAGACCATCCTGGCCATGGTGAAACCCTGTCTCTACTAAAATACAAAAAATTAGCCGGGCGTGGTGGCGCACACCTGTAGTCCCAGCTACTCAGGAGGCCGAGGCAGGAGAATTTCTTGAATCCAGGAGATGGAGGTTGCAGTGAGCTAAGATCATGCCACTGCACTCCATCCTGGCGAAAGAACAAGACTCCATCTAAAATAAATAAATAAATAAGAGACAGAAGTTTAACTCAAAGTAGCCCAAGGGGAATGGCAGAAATGGCTTAGCTCCTATCAGTGATACAAACAGACCAGGGAGGGCTTCTGGAACAACTGGGTCCAGAAACACCAACAATATCACTGCAGCGCGGCTCCTTTCTCTGTGCTGGCCTCACTTCCTCATGTTGGACCTTCATGTGGGACATGGGAAGACTGACAACCTAGAATTCTGTCACCTCAACTGTTAACTTCAGGGTCAAGAAAGACCCTCCATCTCCTATGGGCTGTATGTTAAATCCCAGTTAAGGAGCTGATTCACTGGTGTGTGTCAAGCGCCCTTCCCTGGGCTGATCTTCCCTGGGCCAGGGGTGCAGGGATACAGTGACCAGCAGCCCCTCCATGCCCATGTTGTGGTTGGGGAACTTTCTCAAAGAACAGAGCTGGTCGGGCAGGTCCTGGCCTCTGTGCTTGGTCTGTAGTGTGACACCCCTGTCAAGGACTATGGCTGTGGCAGAGAAACTAGCAGGGAAGCCAGGGAGGGAAGGTGGCGGTTAATGGCTCTGGATACTCCTCTTCTGTGGTCCTGATCAGCTCTTACTCCCAGGCCTGGCTTTGCAGACTCAAATCATTCTTCTGACAGGCCCTTGGCTTCCTTTATGTTCTTGTTGTCCCTGGAAGTTTATTGTCCTGCTAGGACTCATTCTGCCTGGCCTCAGCCAATGGGTTCTGGAGCCTGCTTCCACTCTGGGGGAGGATTCCCGAAGCAGGTCTCTGAGCCAGAGCTGGCCATTCCCCCGGCCATTCCCCAGGTGGCACTGCCCACTTGGACTGGAGGCCTTGGCTTCCAGGGGAGCCAGCAGAGGTCAGTGTACAGAGTTGGAATGGGGTGCACCTGGTATGGCATTCCCAGACCAGGCATTTGGCCTGGAGGATCCCAAACGGAGTTGGCTTCTGTCCCATGGAGAAAGGGTCTTAAGAGTAACCCTTCTCAATGATGAGCTCCTTTCTGTGTTGACTTCTGTCATCCCCAAGTCTTAAGCAAAGTTTTGTCAATTGCTAAGAAAAATAGAAGGACGTTAGAGGTCAGAGGCCTGCAGGCAAAGCCTGCCTTCAAAACCGAGACATGGGGAGACGCCGGGATTACTTCACAACTCCAGCTGTCTCTCAAACAAGTCTGTTCAGACATCTTCAAATAAGCATCTAGCACTTCTCTCTGCCAGAATGTTGACACTCGGGCTGGCTTTCCCAGGGCTGAGTGATGCCTTCACGGCACTGGGAAGAACACCCTCCTGGGCTTGGAGGCGCAGCCATCGCCAAGAGGCAGGAGAATGAAACAGGCATTCCTCCTTCTCAATCAGTACCTCTTCTGTCCACAGAATCCCTCAGCATAAACCCCCTGATACGTTGGACAAATCTGTCTGGACTCTTCAACGATCTCATTCTTGGGAGTAAGGAAAGAGGAAGGGCGGTTTTCCCTTCCCCCACCATCCCTTCCTGTTCCCCACCTCTCAGCTCTGGCCAGGAGACTCCAAGAGTGGTTACAAGGGAGGCTGAAGCTTGGAGATCTCAGTAGAGGCTGAGGATGGGAAAGAACCTTGATCCCTGTCTCAGAGGGCAGCCTGGGATGTACTGCCTTTGGGACCGATGGTCCTGCAGAGGCGGTAACTGGCCTCAGCTAAGGTCTGGTGAGTGCCAGGATGGATGCACCACTTGTGTGAATTCAGAAACTCCCTTTTAACAACCTTCTTATTTTGAAAAAAATGTAACCCACTGAAAAGCTAAAAGAATAGTATAAAAAACTCTCAAATACCTTTTCACTGATGAGGAATATTTTACTACATTTTATTCTCTCTTCTTTATAAAAACTCGTGCATGTTCACGCATAGATGTAATTATTTTAGTTTTTTTGTGGTGTGTGATCCATCATTTGATTGTAAGTTTCAGACATCATAACCCTTTATCTGTAATATCTGTAAATACTTTTTTTGCATAGATTTGTGGGGTTTTGCCTGTTTGTTTTTTAAGACAGGGTCTTGCTCTGTCACTCAGACTGGAATGCAGTGGTGCAATCATGGCTCACTGCAGCCTTGACTTCCTGGGCTCAAGCGATCCTCCTCTCCTTAGCCTGCCATGTAGCTGAGACCACAGGCACATGCTACCACACCTAGCTAATTTTTTATTTTTTATTATTTTTTTTGAGACGGAGTTTTGCTGTTGCTACCCAGACTGGAGTACAATGGCACAATCTTGGCTCACTGCAACCTCCGCCTCCTGGGTTCAAGCAATTCTCCTGCCTCAGCCTCCCGAGTAGCTGGGACTACAGGCACTCATCACCATGCCTAGCTAATTTTTGTATTTTTTTAGTAGAGATGGGGTTTCACCTTGTTGACCAGGATGGTCTTGATCTCTTGACCTTATGATCCACCCACCTCGGCCTCCCAAAGTGCTGGGATTATAGGCGTGAGCCACTGCTCCTGGTCTAATTTTTTATTTTGAAGATACAGGGTCTTACTTTGTTGCCCAGGCTAGTGTCCAACTCCTGAGCCTTAACTTCCTGGGCTCAGGAGATCCTCCCACCTCAACTTCCCTAAATGTTGGGATTACAGGCATGAGCCACCATGCCTGGCTGGCATATATCTCTTATTTATTTAATTAATTGATTGATTAATTAATTTATTTATTTATCTTTTTAAATAAAGACAGGGTTTCACCATGTTGGTCAGGCTGGTCTTGAACTCCCGACCTCAGGTGATCCACCCACCTTGGCCTCCAAAGTGCTTGGATTACAGGCGTGAGCCACCACACCCGGCCCACATATCTCTTAAGAATAAATATATTCTCTTATATATCCTCAGGACAATTACCAAGTCAAGGACATATCACTGATACAACACACTATTCATCTATTACATGGTCCATATTCAAATTTTACCCTTTGTCCCAATACTGTCTTTTAAAGAATTTTCTTTTGAGCAGATACAGGGTCTGGTCCTGGATTCTGTGTTGCAGGCAGTTGTCATATCTTTCATTTTCTTTCTTTCTTCTTTTTTTTTTTTGAGGTGGAGTCTCGCTCTGTCACCAGGCTGGAGTGCAGTGGCATGATCTCGGCTCGCTGAAACCTCTGACTCCCTGATTCAAGCTATTCTCCTGCCTCAGCCCCCTGAGAAGCTGGGATTACAGGCACCTGCCATTGCGCCCAGCACATTTTCTTTAACCTGGTAAAGTTCTCGATCTTTGTTGCCTTTCATTATATTGATATTTCTGAAGAGTTTGGCTGTCTGGCAGTTTTCTCATGATTAGATTCTGTTTACGCATTTTTGACAGGGATGCCGCATGAGAATGCCGCCGTGTCCTTCTCGGAGCATCAGGGAGGAAGCACAGGATGTCAGTTTGCCCCATGATTGGTGATGCTACCTTTGATCATTTGGTTACCATGGTTCCTGCCAGATCTATCCATTGTAAAGGTTACTGTTTTCCCCCTTTGAAATTAGTCAGTACTCTGCAGAAAAATACTTTGAGACTATCCCTTTCTCCAGCAAATTTTTGCCCAATAGTTTTGCAAAATGGAGTTGACTCAACATCTAGAATTAGCTGCTGTTTATTATCTCATTTTCCACCTTAAGTCGCTGAGACTCAGAAAGGTCAAGAACTTGCCCAAGACCACAAAGCAGTGAGATTCAGACCCAGGCCTGTCTGACTCCAGAGCCTTCTGCCACATTGACTCTCCAGCTATAGGGCCTAGGATGTGATGAGCTGTTCACCTACCAACATCTCCCCCACTGCACACTCCACCCACTTGCTCCCCTCCCTAAATGTGAGGCTGAGGCTCTGGTCACAGTGGATGGAGAGAAATGGGCTGCAGAGTCAGCTTTGCAACTCCCCATTCTTCAGCCTTCCCGCTAGGGCCTGGATGAATCTTCCAAAAACTGATATGCAGAGCAGAGGTCTCACCAAGAAGTCACCTCGATTATCTTGCCCCCTCCGCCAACACACACACAGCTGGGCGGCTCTCTCTTCTCCTGACCTTGGAGAAGGAGTATAGGGAGAACGTGTGCTTGTTATGGGTTCAGCTTTGTCAAGCAAGTAAGATGTGTATATGATTGGAGCAGAGTCAGAAGGCAGAGCTACAGGGCATCTGCACTTGGAAGAGATCCTGAGGATGCAGTTTGCACAGGTGTGTGCGTGTGTATGTGAGAGAGAGAGAGTGTGTGTGTGTGTACAGTTGAGAAATCTAGAGGGGAAAAAGAGGAGGGGGGGGCATATATAGTGCCTAAAAGTATGGACTTTTGGCTGGGCGCAGTGGCCCATGCCTGTAATTCCAGCACTTCAGGAGGCTGAGGCAGGTGGATCACGAGGTTAGGAGCTCAAGACCAGCCTGGCTGGTGAAGCCCCGTCTCTACTAAAAATTAAAAAAATTAGCCATGCGTGGTGGCACGTGCCTGTAATCCCAGCTACTCAGGAGGCTGAGGCAGGAGAATTGCCTGAACCCAGGAGGCGGAGGTTGCGGTGAGCCGAGATCGCGCCATTGCACTCCAGCCTGGGTAACGAGCAAAACTCTGTCTAAAAAAAAAAAAGGTACAGACTTTTGCAGGGCGAGATGGCTCATGCCTGTAATCTCAACACTTTGGGAGGCCAAGATGGGCAGATCACGAGGTCAAGAGATACACCATCCTGGCCAAGATGGTGAAATCCCCTCTCTACAAAAATACAAAAACTAGCTGGGTGTGGTGGAGGGTGCCTGTAGTCCCAGCTACTTGGGAGGCTGAGGCAGGAGAATGGCTTGAACCCAGGAGGCAGAGGTTGCCATGAGCTGAGATAGCACAACTGCACTCCTGCCTGGTGATAGAGCAAGACTCCGTCTCAAAAAAAAAAGGTGCAGACTTTTGCCAGGTGCAGTGGCTTACACCTGTAATCCCAGGGCTTTGGGAGGCTGATGTGAGCCGATCACCTGAGGTCAGGAGTTTGAGACCAGCCTGGCCAACATGGTGAAACCCTGTCTCTACTAAAAATAAAAAATTAGCCGAGCGTGGTTGCACACTACTGTACTCCCAGCTAGTCGGCCAGCTAAGACAGGAGAATATCTTGAACCCAGGAGGTGGAGGTTGCAGTCAGCAGAGATTGTGCCACTGCATGCCAGCCTGGGTGACAGAGCAAGACTCTGTCTCAAAAAAAAAAAAAAAAAAAAAGACTGGGCATGGTAGCTCATGCCTGTAATCAAGCACTTTGGGAGGTTGAGGCCAATATTGTGAAATCCTGTCTCTACTAAAAATACAAAAATTAGCCAGTTGTGGTGTCAAATTCCTGTATCCCAGCTACTCAGAGGGCTGAGGCAGGAGAATTGCTTGAACCCGGGAGGCGGAGGTTGTGGTGAGCCAAGATGGTGCCACTGCACTCCAGCCTGGTGACAGAGAGAGACTCTGTTTCAAAGAAAAAAGAAAAAAAGTACGGAATCTTGGCCAGGCGAGGTGGCTCACACCTGTAATCCCAGCACCTTTGGGAGGTCAAGGAAGGCAGATCCCTTGAGCCCAGGTCAAGACCTTCCTGGGTAACATAGTGAGACCACATGTCTGAATGATAAAAATAAATACAAATATTTTTTAAAAAGCACTGACCCAGGCTGGAAGCAGGGGCTCATGCCTTGTAATCCCAGCACTTTGGGAAGCCAAGGTGGGAGAATTGCTTGAGCCCAGGAGTTTGGAGCAGCCTGGGCAACATTTTGAGACCTCGTTTCTACAAAAATAATTTAAAACATAGCCGGGCATGGTGGTGCATGCTTATAGTTCCAGGTACTTGGGGTAGGGGGCCGAGGTGAGAAGACTGCTTGAGCCCAGGAGGTCAAGGCTTCAGTGAGCCATGATTGGACCACTGCATCCAGCCTGGGCAACAGAGCAAGACCCTGTCTCAAGAAAAGAAAAGAAAAAAGGAAAGGGAAAGGAAGGGGAAGGGAAGGAGAGAGGAGGGGAGGAGAGGAGAGGAGAGGGGAGGAGGGGACGGGAGGGGAGGAAAGGAAAAGAGGGAGAGGGGAGGAAGAGGAGAGGGAGAGGGCAGGGAAGGGAAGGGGAGAGAACTGATTCTGAAGTCAGACTGCTGGAATCTGTTTTGTGGGTTTTTGTTGTTTTTTTGAGATGGATTCTTGCTCTGTCACCCAGGCTGGAGTGCAGTGGCATGATCTCAGCTCACTGCAACCTCTGCCTTCTGGGTTCAAGCAATTCTCCTGTTTCAGCCTCCTGAGTAGCTGGGACCACAGGTACCTGCCACCACGGCCGGCTAATTTTTGTATTTTTAGTAGAGACAGGGTTTTGCCATATTTGTCAGGCTGGTCTTGAACTCCTGGTCAGATCTACCCATCTCAGCCTCCCAAAGTGCTGGTATTACAGGCATGAACCACCGTGCCCAGTCTGACTGCTGGAATTTGAACGTTGGGCCCACCACTAACCTGCGTAACCATAGACAGGCAAGTTATTTCACCTCTCTAGGCCTTGCTTTTGTCACCTGTAAAATGGACATAATAGCACCTACGTCATCAGGTTGTTGTGAGGAGTAAATGAATCTGTGTCAAGTGCTTTGCTCAGGTGAGTTACCGCTTAGACAATGTTGGGGGTGTGCTGAAGAGGAAGATGAGGTAGGTGATGATGGGGGGTGGAGGAGCCCCGGAAGGCCTCGGCTCCAGGACAATCCCAGAATTAGGAAAGAACCCAAGTTGGTTATTGCAAAGACTGAGTGAGAGAGAGGCAGGATGGATGACAGGAATATCCGGGAAGGGAGGGCCGGATGACTCACTCATTCACCTGTTTACACTTTATCTCTCACCTGCTTCCAGGAAGGCTTTGAAGTGGTTCATAATTAAAATGAAAGCCTCAGGTGCTTCAGCCTGCTGAGTCTGGAAAGACCCTGTCCCAGCGGGAGGGTGGCTTGGGCAAGGCTGGCACAGTGTGGCAGGTCCTGGGCTCACCCAGAGGGATCGGGGAGTGCAGAGTGACTTGCAGAAGATGCCAGGGAAGAGGCTGAGGAAAGAATGCAGACTGAGCCCCCACTCTGTGACCACCTGGCCCTGGGCCTGTCATGGTGGCTCATGCTGGTAAGCCCAGCACTTTGGGAGGCCAAGGCAGGTGGATCACCTGAGGTCAGGAGTTCGAGACCAGCGTGGCCAACCTGGTCAAACCTGGTCTCTACTAAATATACAAAAATTAGCTGGGTGTGGTGGCACGTGCCTGTAATCCCAGCTATTTGGGAGGCCGAGGCAGGAGAATCACTTGAACCCAAGAGGTGGAGGTTACGGTGAGCCAAGATGGAGCCATTGCACTCCAGCCTGGGCAACAGACCAAGACTCTGTCCCAAGAAAAAGAAAAGAAAAGAAAGATTGGGCATCTGTAGATTAAACCAGGGCATGTGGGAGATGGGGCACCAAGAAGGGGCCAGGAAAAGTCTATGGACTCCAGCCAGGCCATTGACAATATTTGCTCCATTGGCTACCTTCGGGCACAGTGGATGCTGTTGAATACTGTCGGTGGCCAGGCTTGGGCGCTCCAGCTGCCAAGGCTCTGGTTTTCTCCTCCAGGAACCAACTTCTGTCCTCTGAAGGAGAGCCTTTCCTCCCCAGGTCCCCCGCCTCTGGCCTCAGGCTGATACACTTGTTGGAGGAAATCCTGCCCCTCCTCCTCCGTACCCACCTTCTACCCCCACTCCTGTTCCAACAAGAGTTGGACCCGACCTGCCCCACCCTAATGCAGTCTGGGTGTCCTGGTGGCCCATCTGCCTTTGTCTGCCAGCACAATAACGAGGAAGTCCCAGGCCCCCATCCATTGGGAGCCCTTCTTCTCAGGCCACCCCGGGGGTCCAGTGCCTTGTCTGCCCCTCCCCCACACCACTTCCTGCCTCTTACCTTGAACATCCTGCCAGCCCCAGCCTGGGCTCAGCTCAGGTTTCCAGGAGCACGTTGACAGAGTCCCCACATCATACCAAGTTTTGGCAAGTCCAGCCCCACTCTGACAGACTTTCTGTCACACTTCCTTACAGCTACTTAAACTGCACTTTAGCGTGTAATGAAATACCTTCCATTTAGGGAGGTGGAGGGGTCTCCCTCAGGCAGGATTAAACATGATGACAGTTCCTAAAAGGAGGGGCTGGGATTTAGGCTAAAAAGGTAAGGCAGCCAGACCAGAGGAAGACGATCAGGAGCTGCGGAGCCAGCCTCTGCCAGCCTGGGGGAGTGGGGCTG